GTATTTTTCGTTAAATTATCAATGAAGCAAAATTTTTGTTACCAAGACGCGGACGAGTCGACCGGAGACCAGGCAAAACATCTAAATGTTTCCGGGCAAGATTTAGTGAGTTTTGCAGAAAAATCTAAAAGTGAAGTTCGCGAAAACATTACGGCGTTGGTGTCGGTGACAGAACTAAGAGTAATGGAAGGAAAGGTAATAACAATCACCATTAATCTTGATCGGATTTCTATCTTTAGAATCCTCGCAGTTAACTATTGCGCTGCGCGTACAAGTGCCACTTCCTTTTATGTCTCGCCCTTTGTATATTGGTGTCTTGCAAAGGAACAAAGTGGTTAATAATTATTGAGTTTTATGAGTTTCATTAATTTAAGTAGAAAAAATGTTGCAGGAGTAAAGTAAAATCACTCACAAAAATGTACACGCCCGGAGGCGAAATTATGGAAATTTGATTATCCTCGGACCAGTTTAAACAGTTCAAAACTATTGGTCTAGAGTTGACATCACCATTATTAAGTTCCATAATGAGATGAAAATACAAAAATTTTGGAGAGAGAAAGGGTTGAACTCGAAAGGTTGATAAAAGTGGCAGAACTAAAGGTTTGATTGGCCAGTTTCCTCCCTGCAAAAAAAACTCATTTCGAGCACCCTATTACGTATTGATCTACTATACATTACATGCAGTACATAAAACTTTATCTGAAATTTTTATGAGGTCGAAGGTAAAGTGAACACGATTCATTCGTGCAACCATCTGCTCATACATGACGTATAAAAAGTATCACGTCCAATACTTGCAATTGGAAAATGTCGTTTTCAGCTAATACACCCTCGTTGACGAAAATCGACCGATTATTTGCATTCGGATCGAACGGTCACGGACAACTTGGAATTGGTTCCACGAATGACACAAATCTCCCAACTCAATGCATTTTTTCAGATAACCTAAAGGATCCTTCACCCAAGTTTATCAATGGTATCAATGGAGGCGGAAATCATTCCGCCGTGATCACCAATAACGGAGAATTATGGACAAGTGGTTTAAACGGTGATGGTCAATGTAGACCTCTTTCACTTTTAGGCGATACCTTCACTACGATAAATGATTCCTCGACCACCGTTTACCGTAGAGTGATTCTTTCCGAAGAATCGGAATCGAAAATTATGTGGCAACACGTAGCCTGCGGATGGACCTTTACGATTGGCGTAACACAACGAGGGTTGGCATACGTGTTTGGTAGAGGGACTTTTGGTGAGTTGGGATGTGGGAAGAACGTTAAGACGACGAATAATCGAGTCTTGAGGATTGAAGGTTTGGAGGGTCTCCAAAAAGTTGTCTGTGGATTACGCCATTGCATAGGGTTGACCAACGATGGTGTATGTTATGGATGGGGGAATAATAAATTCGGTCAGTTGGGGCATATAGGAAAAAGTGTAGAGGACAACGATGGCAAAATTTCGACCAAGAGGAAAAAGGAAGACAATAGTTGTCGTTTTACGCCCGTCATAATAAACATTGGGGTTGAAGAAAAGATTAAAGACGTCGCATGCGGACAACATCACACTGTTGTTTTAACTCAGAAGGGAGATTTGTACGCCTTTGGTCTCAACAAATATGGCCAACTCGGATATGCGTCACCGTTGCGAATCAAAAATTGCGAGGTTCCAAAGAAAGTTCATAATCTTCCTGGAAAGGTCATTGAAATATCTTGTGGATGGAATACCACGATGGCACTCTGCGAAGATGATTCGCACAAGTTATTTGTCTGGGGTCGGAATGACCATGGGCAATTAGGAATGACATCCGTAGACAATAGAACGTCGAATGAAAACACGGATGGATGGATTTGTGAGCCGACCCCTCTATGCTTTCTTCCGCAACTCCTCTCATTCATTCCGGTGGGTTCTAAAATCAAAAGTTTTGCTAGTGGGTCTGAACATTCTTTGGTCGCGACAGCAGAAGGCGAATGCTATGCTTGGGGTTGGAATGAACACGGGAATTGTGGTACCGGTGATAATATTGATCAACGGAATCCAATTCGTGTTGATGGATTCGATGAAAATTTTGTTGTAAAAGGAGTTGGTGCTGGATGTGGGAACTCTTGGATTTGGATTGGTCGCAGGTAGTCACGCGACTTAAAGGGTCAGACACTCCGACTTTAGTAAAGGCAACTACTGTAACTATTTAAACCGAGTTGTGCCCGGGATTTTTTAAAGCGCTCAAATTTTTCCGAAATCTTGCTTCGGTGTTTTTATTTATTTATTTATCTTTATTTATTTTTTTTTTTCGTTAGACTTGAAAGCCATCATTGTATTCACTGATTTTGACATATAGATTTTTTTTTTGGATTTGCAAATGAATAATGTGAGTAATGATATTATACAAATTAAGAAAAAATAATAATAGCTATGAAAATATAAGAGAACTTGTTCGCCCGACGCATTACTTCTTTACGAGATAAGCTCTTTACCAGCAATAATTTGTGCCCGCCCAACTTCAATGTCCCTATCCTCATTCCCACCTAAAATTCCTAATAGTGTTTCAACCATTCGGACAACTTATCCTTCACGAATTTCCTGGCCGCTGTCAACGAGGCACTATCCACCGGACTGGGAAATCTCAGATCATTAATATGAGACCCGTTTACAATAATGAACACAGCGTTCTCTGAAATAGTATGTTTGTCGGAACCACTTATCGTCAGTGGTGTCCATGGATCAGATCCACCGGTAACGAATACTGTTCGCGAGAATTTCTTGGTGTTACCACCAAACTCGGAGTTTGTCTTTTTCACTTGTGGTGGCGGAATTTTCGGAAATAGGAAATCGCACTGGTACTGATAGTAGGCAACATTTACTATTTGTGGACGGTAACTTTGAAGTGGTGGCTTTGGCGCGGTTTGATACCATCCGAACTGTGTGCAATACTATGTAGAAAGGGAGATTAGTATTCCACACCTGAAACATGTGACTTCTTTGATGTAATGTACATACTTGATAGGTATAAGTGGCAACATCGTTGGGTACGGTTAGAGAAATAGAGGTGGTGGCGAAAAAATCGGCGATTGCCTTATCGTTAGTCAGCCCGGTGGTATTCAAATAGAACTTGAAAATTTCGGCAAGCACTGCATTCAGAGTAGCAGGATTTTTGTTAGGTGCACTGGAAAACGCTCCGCAAAAGGCAGCAATCGTGTCAATGTCATTGGATGACAATGGTGGAAAATAACTTTGAACGATTGATGATTGCGGTAGAACTATTGCCGAAGCAAAGTCTTGATCGTTTTCCAACACGCCAAGCCCATATTGTGCCTTGAGTGCATTGATAGCAGTTTTGTTGCCGGAAAGCAAAACTTCATTAACAAATGATATGGCGTCTGCCACATCCTTACGACATGGCAAAACGCGGCCAACCTCTTGGTCATACTCGAAGAAATTGATCTTGGCTAATAGTGGAGCGGACGAGGCCCAAGCGGCGAACACTAACTCGGGGTATTTTTCTCGCATCCATGTGGCTATATTACCGGCATACGACCCTCCGACAAAGATCCATTTGGAATGTTTCGGAATTTTTACGGGTATATCCGGAGGATAAGCGATGAATCTAGCGAAATCTGCTAGGGCTTGTTCGACTGTCAGAGTTTTCAGGTTTTTTGCTTGAAGATCGGGTACCGGAGGATAGCTCTTCCCATAAAAACGATGCTCAACTGCAATCAAGAGGCCACCGAAAAATGAAGCGATCTCGCTGATTCCAGACTGCGAGACTTCGCTTATCACTATTGAGCTCTCTCCTGCAGTGGTGACTATTAATAGAGATGTAAGTAATTAACATCAATACGACTCTACCCGTGATATAAGCGATCGTATTATAAACAATTCTTACTAAATATTGGTCCACCGGGTTTATAGCAAGAGGAGTTAACAAAATATCGTTGTTTGAAAGTTCCCGACTTTTTGTCGTTATGATCAATTATTTGATCATAGTAATATGTGCCTGCGGCATTAAGACTTGATCTATATGCAGTAAATATATTTTAGTGCAATTATTGACGAAAAAGTTGGCAAAACAATCTACCTACTCTCTGGGAACAAGTCGCTGTGGAAATGCGTCAATCGAAAGAATAACAGCACAACTAAAGATGGTTATGAATATCAGCGCGAACGATTTCATTCTTTTTTTTTTTTTTTTGAACTTGACTTATGGTTGGAGATGAAAAGATTGCTCGAATTATTCAAATATTTATATTTTCGGGATGTCCATTGAGAAGCGACAATATTATAAACAATAGAATCTATATAATATCAATGAATGCTAGTGTGATTTAATTTGCCTCCAAAAAAGGGTTGTTTGTTACCCTTCTCGGTATCACATATTATATTGCGCATAAGTTACGAGAACAATATTTCGAGAGAACGCAGTTCTTTGTCCACAAAAAAGGAAAAAATCGAGATTGGTGTGTGACGAACAGTCATTGTGGCATATAGTTTTATGCGAACAATTCAAAATTCTATTAATAATTAGGTTTTGAATAGGCATGACTTCTCGGGGCGAAGTTCGGGAGTCCATTAAAGTTTCCTATTGTGCTAATTATTTAATTTGACCCCATTGTATTCACCCAATCTCCGGTCAAAGAATTATTGAATCATGCATTACTTTATTTCTTATTTGTCACAAGTAATAAATATTTTATAGTTAGTGCTTCCGTTTTTCCGTTCTATTACCAATCCTTCGGGGCAGCAAGTTTTCGGGTTTGAATATACAGTACTTCTTTAGAAAGAAAATTTTCGAATGTTGTCGATTAATGAAACCACCAAATATTTCTTCGAATTATCTCTTCTTAAAATAGGCCTCTTAGGATGTACCCTAATTATTGTTGATTATTTCGGTCCTGTAAACATTGACTTAAAGTGACAAAAGGATTATTGAAAAAAAACTAATAAATGTCATAACTACAAGCTATAATAACGAGTTGGTTACTTTAACCGACAACACATTGTACATTATGCAAGACATCGATAAATTCGAGGGTATGTTGCTGCAACTCGAAGATTAAATCAAAATTTTCAGTTAAAGTAAATCTTAGCAAATTTGTTTTTTAATACTATATTTTACAATTTAACAATTTAACGCAATTACTATAATAATAATTGTTATCGGCAAACAATATATTGATTTTTTATTGGTTTATTTTGATGACTATATACTATTTCAGAATTTGAAATTGTTATTTCTCATGTTTTTTTAATAAATTTTCTTATATTAAGGTATACTTCTTTCTATATTATAGCCATTATCTTATATTATTTCTTTTAAATATTAATAATAGTTTTATAATCTAGTTTTCTAATTATTATTGATATTGTAACAAATAAAATATTTTATTATTGTCTATTCTGCTTTTTTTTATTTAAATTATCTGATTCTTATTGTTTTTTATCATTATTTTCAATTGAACTTTACTATAAAATATTTTAACTTTTATTTTAGACAATTCTCTTTTTAAATTTTTATAAACTATTGTAACTAATTTTTTAAAAAATTTTGATTATTGTTCAAAACTATTTTGAAATAAAATCTTTATCTATAGTATATTCTATAAAAGTTGAAATATTTACTAATCTTTTATTTTTTTGATTTTTTGATCAAATAATTGATCTATATATATCAATCTATTGTTTCTAAGTAATAGAATAATGGTTTTTCTTTATTTTTTTAATATAAAGTATTTTTAAATCAAACAGTTTTTCTTATTTTATTCAAAAATATTTTGTTGTTTCTAATTTTTAAAAGGTTATTTCTATGTCTTTTATTAATTTTATTACTTAAAATAAAAAGTTATCTTAGTCTCATAGATAGTTTAATAATTTGAAATTAATATATTATATACTGTAATTAATAGTTTTTACTCTATACTTATTTAAATTTAATAATTGTTATAACTTCTACTTATTTAAATTATTTAGTTTATTATAAAGTTTTAATATTTGATTTTTTTGTTTTAGTATCTAGATACTCTTCAAATTGTAAATTTTTAAATAATAAATTATACTATTAAATATAAATCTATATAAATTATTTTTATTTTAAAAAGTTTTTTATACACTACTATTAAGATATTGATTATTTTCTAAAACTATATACTATTGTCAATCTATCTAATAATCTTCAAATTAGATAAATAGATAAAATAACTATACCAGTAATTTATTTTAAGTTGAGAAAAAATACCTTAATTGTAATATACTAAAGTTGATAATTCAAGGATAGTAAAAATTATATAAACATATTAAAAAAGGCTTTAGG